GAGTATAGAAAGGTTGATAGAAGCAGAAGATACTTGAAGACGATGTAATCAGTCCATCACCCTTAAAGTTTTGAGGTGGTCAGTCCCTCAGTCTGGAGAAGAGCATTGTTCCGTTGTCTGAAACAATATGAAGTTGAAGTGACAGAATGGGGCCTTTATATAGTGCCAGGAGGTGAGACGAAGGTTGCTTTGGGAGGGCAGGTCCTTCTCAAACCCAGCCGTTCTCACTAGTAGAGGTTGTCGAAGTGGTCTGTACCCTTGTGTATGGTTGTCCTGTCCAACATTTAGAACTTTGCATTTGTCTATATTAAACTGCATCTGCCACTTCTCCGACCACTGCATCAGTCTATTCAAAACTTCCTGGAGTGCTCTAATGTCCTCGTCAGAATGAATTCGGCGGCCTATTTTGGTGTCATCGGCAAACTTGCTGATGTCGCTCTTTATGTCGTTTATGTAGATTGTGAACATCAAAATGGTATACAATACCGACAGGTTGTTAGGTAAGACACATATGCAACACTTAGACAACTTTATTCCGAAACGTTTCGCCTACACAGTAGGCTTCTTCAGTCGAATACAGAAAGTAGGCAGGAACAGTAGAGATGTGAAGACGATGTAATCAGTCCATCACGACTACAAGGGTGATGGACTAATTACATCGTCTTCACATCTCTACTGTTCCTGCCTACTTTCTGTATTCGACTGAAGAAGCCTACTGTGTAGGAGAAACGTTTCGGAATAAAGTTGTCTAAATTTTTGCATATTTGGGCTTACCTAACAACCTGTCGGTATTGTATACCATTTTGATGTTCATCTTGTCAGACACTGCAACACGTGGCATCTTGGTACAGAAAACACCTTGGACAAGCTTTTCAAGTGAGAAGGGTTGGATCTGAGAGGGACATGACCCCCCAGTGGTTACATTCTCACTACTACTACTACTACTACTACTATGCACCTCTCCTTCCGACAGTATTTAAGTCTCCGCACTGTCGCTTGATCTTCAGATAGTTCCTGACTATGGAACTGAACTTCTCCAGGGCCCAGGGACTGACAACCTCAAATTCTACGACTACAAGGGTGATGGATGATTACATCGTCTTCACATCTCTACTGTTCCTGCCTATTCTGTATTCGACTGAAGAAGCCTACTGTGTAGGGGAAACGTTTCGAAAAAGTTGTCTAAAATGTTTCATATGTGTCTTACCTAACAACCTGTCGGTATTGTATACCATTTTGATGTTCATCTTGTCAGACACTGCAACACATGCATCTTGGTACAGAAAACACCTTGGACAAGCTTTTTAAGTGAGAATTTTTTATCTGAGAAGGGGACATGACCTCTCAGTGGTTACATTTTCACTACTAAATACTACTACTACACTACTACTACTATGCACCTCTCCTTCCGACAGTATTTAAGTCTCCGCACTGTCGCTTGATCTTCAGATAGTTCCTGACTATGGAACTGAACTTCTCCAGGCCGAGGGACTGACAACCTCAAATTCTACGACTACAAAGGGGGATGGACTGATTACATCGTCTTCACATTTTCTACTGTTCCTGCCTACTTTCTGTATTCGACTGAAGAAGCCTACTGTGTAGGCGAAACGTTTCGGAATAAAGTTGTCTAACTGTTGCATATGTGTCTTACCTAACAATATGTAGATTGTGAACAGCAGGGGGCCCAACACTGACCCCTGTGGAACACCGCTCGTGACGCTTCCCCACTCTGATTTCTCCCCATTTATGCAAACTCTCTGCTGCCTATTTGTCAACCCTGCCCCTATCCAGGAAAAAATTTATCCTTTTCCATGTGCCTTAATTTTCCTCAAGTCTCTGATGTGGGACTCTGTCAAAAGCCTTACTGAAGTCCATATACACAATATCATATTCATTACCATGATCTGCCTCCTCAAATACCTTAGTGAAAAAAGTTAATAAATTCGTAAAGGGAGGAACGCCCCCTTTGTAAAACCATGCTGAGATTCGTCGATTAATTTGAGCTTTTCAAAGGGGGCTACGTAAATGCCTCGGCAATTTTTGATTCCATAAATTTTCCACTATGGAGGTTAAGCTTATCGGTCTAATATTCGAAGCTAAGGACCGTCACCTGCTTTGAAAATAAGGTATCACATTTGCCATTTTCCATTATCTGGCACCATGCCAGTCAGAGGGATATGTTTGAAAAGATTAGCCAGAGGTTTGCTAAGCTCCTCTTTACATTCCTTTAGAACCCTTGCAACAGTTCATCAGGGCCTGGGGATTTGTTAGGTTTTAATTTATCAATTTGCCAAGAACCATGTCACTTATGAAACCCAATCGTGCATATTTATTATCATCCTGTTCTACATAATTTATTATTTCTGGAATATCGCTAGTATCTTCCTGAGTAAAAACTGAGAGGAAGTATGTGTTAAAAATTCTACACATTTCCTTATCACTGTCTGTGAGCTGACCCGAGTAACTTTTGAGTGGGCCTATCTTGTCCCTGATCTTACTTCCGTATACCTGAAAGAATCCTTTTGGGTTAGTCTTCGAATCTCTTGCAACTTTAACCTCAATCTCTTTTTGCTTTTCTTATTCCCTTTTTTATTTCTCTTTTAACTGAATTTATTGATTTCTTAATTGCACCTCTCCTTTTTGATTTGCCTATATATGCCTCTCTTTTGACCAATGAGATGTTTTAATCTATTGTTAATCCATTTAGGATCATTTTTGTTTGATCTGATTTCCTTATTTGGAACATAAGTTGTCTGAGCAGCTAGAACTATGCCCTGGAAAATGTCATATCGGCAATCACCACCTACCTGACCTATAGTCAGGTCATTCCAGTTCAGCCCACCCAAGTAATTTTTCAGTCCTATGAAATCAGCCAAGCGGAAGTCAGGGACAGAGACTTGATTGCCATTATTAGGGGAATTCCATGATATATTAAAACTGAGTGATTTGTGATCACTTTCCCCGAGCTCATCATTAACCTCAAGATTATTAATGAGCGTTTCCCTGCTGGCAAGAACCAAGTCAAGCAGGTTATTTCCTCTAGTTGGCTCTGTCACAAACTGCTTTAAAAACAATCCTGAATCGTATCAAGAAAGTCACTAGATTCTAAAATTCCTGTCAAATTGCCTGTCAGATATTGCAACATCATGGGATCTTGATACAAGGAATTCTTCAACACTTGTCCAACCTTTGGACGAAGATCTACTTACATTAGTGGATGGTACCACTTGATCCCGCCTCCTCCTCCCTCAACTCACCTGTCTACAATATACAAGCCACTTCTACGGCCCTATGCTGTACTTTCTACAAGAGTGATGGACTGAACACCGATTCTAGACCGAGGGACTGATTACCTCAAACTCCTTTCTGTGCAAGAAAGGTATACAATACCGACAAGATGAAGGTTAAAACATGTGCAACATCTGGTTTTCTTTATGGTAGACGTTTCGTCATCCAGTGGCTTTATCAATACAGATTTTAGGACAAAATTAGAAGACGTAGAACTATATACAAAAGATGAGGTAATCAGTCCCTCAGTCTTGGAGTTGGTGTGGAGAACACAGGTGTTCTCCACACCAACTGATTACCCCATCTTTTGTATATAGTTCCACTGTCTTCTAATTATGTCCTAGAATCTGTATTGATAAAGCGATTGGATGGCGAAACGTCTACAATAAAGATAACCAGATGTCAAAGAAACTCGCAACCGTAGTAGCTATCAGAATCTCTAAGTCCAGAAATAACTCTGAATTTCACAGATGCCTACTGTAGCGAGAAATGGGTTCAGTCTCACCAACGCAACCGTTAGTTATCCAAAACTTGAGTCCAGACAAAGCTCACGGAGATGTTTCCGCTGCTAGAGGTAGGCTGGAACCAGACGTCAACTCGGTTCGTGAGACACCTACTCGAGACCCCTCAAGGAAGGTTCCTTGATGTTGGTGAGGGGCTCTTGATCTAGGGAATTGGATCTGTTCTCCAGTTCCCTGAATTAAACCTGAATACCTTCCACATCCCCCCTCACGCGCTGTATAATCTTACGGGTTTAGCGCTTCCCCCTTGATTATAATAATAATAACCTACTCGAGAGACCCATTGACTCAACTATCCTATGGTAGTTAGCACAGTAGTTCCAGACTTAATTCAATAAAACCTATCCTACCTATATACATAGCTAAATAATACATGGTCAGTTAATATTATAAATCAGAATATCTTCATTTAGCTATTAAAGTAGATATAGATAATACAATATTAAGTGAATATAAAAATACATACAAGGGACGCAACACTGTACAAGTGCTAAAATATTAATGTCGACAGTCTGATTATACTGAGGTTGACCTTTCGCCATTCGTTGTGCATGTTTCCTTATTCCCAAACTAATGGACATTTTATAAAGAGGAATGAGGTTAAACGTATCATAAATGATAACCTATACAAACGCCGTTGCCTAGAATCAAATATAATGTCTTAGTAATACAGCTGTGTAAAACACCAGGAGTTTCAGTGTATTAACAGTTCTGACCAAGTTAATCTTAGAAAACACTGCCATTTGAGAATTTGTCAGGTATGGGCCAATAAACCTCCCGCAGTGTTCATCATTCATATACTTTTATGTCTGATCTCAATATATTTGATCTTCCACTACATATTTTCATATTTTATGTACTGATGAGCGGACTTATTTTCTAACTGTATAGTTTTATTGGTCATTACCTGAGATTATATTCTTGTGGACCCTTAACCTGCAGGGGTTATATATCGCCTGTGGTTATCTCTGTAGGACTGAAGAAACCATTCGTGGCAAAACGTTGCCTCAGTAAAATATTCTAAGACTGTACATATTCTTATTTCACAGAGCCTGAGAAAAGGGAGGGGAGTTCCAGTTCCCCGAATCAAAAGCCCTTGACCGGCATCAAGGCACTCCTCCCCCCTTTTTTCCTTAAAGGTGTTATTTTGTGTTATATTGTGAATTGTTAAAAAAAATGGTTACTAACCTCCCAGGTGTTGACATTACTCTCCACGTTGTCTCCTGCATGGTGAAGCATTGCAACTTCTTCCGTTAAAATATTCTTTTTATTTTTCATTTTCTTGATTCCGCACATTAACCAGCGATAACGCCGCACTCTCACTCTCTGTTCATCACTGTTCCCATCAGGTGGTTCCTCTCTCCAGTCTCTCCTTCTGCTGCTCCTTGCAGTCATCTACACCCTGCTCTGTTTTCTGCTGTTGCTTGTATTCATCCACACAAGTGTTGTAACTGACCACTGTTGCTTGTATTCATTCACACTAGTGTGTAACTGACCACTGAGTTGCTTGTATTCATCAACACTAGTGTGTAACTGACCACTGTTGTTGCTTGTATTCATCAACACTAGTGTGTAACTGACCACTGAGTTGCTTGTATTCAGCCACACTAGTAACTGACCACTGTTGTTGCTTGTATTCAGCCACACTAGTAACTGACCACTGTTGTTGTTTGTATTCATCAACACTAGTGTAACTGACCACTGTTGTTGCTTATATTCAGCCACACTAATAACTGACCACTGTTATTGCTTGTATTCATCAACACTAGTGTGCAACTGATCACTGCTGTTGCTTGTATTCATCAACACTAGTGTGTAACTGATCACTGAGTTGCTTGTATTCATCAACACTAGTGTGTAACTGACCAATGAGTTGCTTGTATTCATCAACACTAGTAACTGACCACTGCTGTTGCTTGTATTCATCAACACTAGTGTGTAACTGACCACTGAGTCGCTTGTATTCATCAACACTAGTGTGTAACTGACCACTGAGTCGCTTGTATTCATCAACACTAGTGTTTAACTGACCACTGTTGTTGCTTGTATTCATCAACACTAGTGTTTAACTGACCACTGTTGTTGCTTGTATTCATCAACACTAGTGTGTAACTGACCACTGCTGTTGCTTGTATTCATCCACACTACACCAGTGCTGTGACTGACCACTGCTGCTGCTGCTTGTATTCATCCACACGCCACCTCATTGTGCACAGTGGATTGTTATTATATTCCAAGGTGAACCCATATGGGTTATTCGTTGCTGAGAGCACAAAAAGGAACCCAGCATGGCGTGTGCCTCTGCTGTTATATGCTGGATTGGTTTTTCCACCATAACTTTTCCCTGTGCGTACTTTCAAGTAATGTTTTCTGGGGCCAAAATAACGTTTGCAGATGTGTGTCCACGGAAAGATTCTCCTGTTATCACTGGAGGAAAGTTTAGAACAAAGTTTGAAGAATAACTATAAGAGGGGCCAAGAGGTTAGAAATCAGCAGTGCCTATTAAAGTAGTCTAGGAGGTAGTGCCAGAAGCAGTCTCGGCTTCCACAAAGACAACTAGGTGACACAATCACAGGATATGAGAGAGAAGTTTTGGATTTGAGGACCTACTTAGAATGGGTCAGTTGCTCCATGTTATCAGTCAGTTCATATCCTTAGTGGCCAGCGAACTTATTTGTTCACTGAGCAAACATCTTGTTCTTATACCTCTTTCAAAACACAATATAACAAGGTTAGGCCTGGCTACACTATACGAGCAATCTAGTCACCATACTGCACTGTCACTTATAGACCTAACACGTCCACAGAGAAACACACTCGAGTGCTGTCAGGTTACTGCAGTCAGCTCTACTTAGGTGGTCTCCTAATCCAGTGTATTATGCTGCGCGAAAACTTGCAACTTTTCACAAGTATTGATCAGCTTCCAAGATTGCTAAAACTAGGTCAAGCAGGTTAGTACCTCCAGCTAGTAGCTTCTAATTGCTCTAAAATGACAGCGTCGAAGTTCCGATTTGCTTGTACATCACCATTCAAAAATACTTTAATCTCTAAAGTCGGGATTAAAGTAAATTCTTCGTATATACATGTATAGAGTTGGTTTCTTAGACTTAAGTCTGCAGTTCACCTGTACGCAATTAAAAATGATCCATATAAGAAAAGGGAAACAACGTTTATACCGAAGTATATATCCGTATGTCCAGTTGATTAAGTCAAATTCGAATTTACCACAGTATTGTTATATCTATTATAATTATTACACTCGCAGTGATCACTAAATTCTTAGTATCATACAGCACCTAGGTGAAGTTGATACAACCAAGTTTGATCCAAGAGAAGGAAGATGCGTTCAGTTCCTTGGATCATGAGCCTTTCACATATTAATTGAGATGAATTAAGGCATGCCACTTGAACTAGGCTACCTGTCACGAGGCTGCCAGCTGCTGGTACCTTGCCTGTCTTAAATCATTGTTTTTGTTAGAGTTATGTTAAAATAAGCGTTAAACCCGTACGGGTCATACAACGCTGTGGAGCGGTGATGTATAAGAGGGTCTAAGACTAAGGTACCTTATTTCCAAACACTGCTTTACAAAAATAAATAATAATCAGAAAAAAAACATAGGATGCATAGCATTTCTGGTTGATGGAGCTGACGTTAGTGCGCGTGTAAAACTACATAAGAACGAGAAAGCACTACAGCAGGCTTACTGGTCCATGCTAGGCAAGTCTAATTCACATCCACCATTCCCACTCATATACCCGTCCAACCTATATATATTTAAAGCTACCTGGGAGTTTGTTCTACTCATGAGAGACAAAATTTTGTTCGGATTTTTAACCCCGGAGGGTTAGCCACCCAGGATAACCCAAGAAAGGCGGTGCGTCATCGAGGGACTGTCTGTCTTATTTCCATTGTGATCGTGTCTTATCCCCAGGATGCGACCCACACGTCGACTAACACCCAGGTACCTACTTGCTTGCTAGTTGGTACCTGGGCAACAGGTGTAAGAAAACACGCCCAATGTTTTCATCCTTGCCGGGGATCGAACCATGGACACTGTATGAAGCGAGAGCGTTGCCTACCAGGCCACGGGCCACCATTCTACAATTCTCTTACTAAACAACATCTCCCGATATCCTTTCTATATCTAAATTTCTCAAATTTGAATTCATTACTGCGAGTCCTGTCTGGATCATACATTTTTCAACATGCTATGTATATCCTCTTTTTTCCCGTTTTCTATTTGTACGCCTCAATCACATCCTTTCCAAAGTGCAAGTTCGGTGCCTTCAGTCTATTTTCGGAAGAAAGTTTTCTAATACATGGAATCAACTTTGTCATCCTTCTCTGTACTGTATTTTCAAGGCCATTTGTCCATCATGTGATATGGAGACCAGAAATAAGTAGTAAAATGTGAGGCCTAACTAAAGATATATAAAGATAGTCTAACTTTATATAAAGGCATATAAAGTTAGTATAACCTTATATAAAGGTATATATAGTTAGTATCACATTATAAAGGTATATAAAATTAGTATAACCTTGGGACTCCTGCCATTTACATTTCTCGTCATGAAGCTAGGATTGCATACCTGGAGTTTACCTGGAGAGAGTTCCGGGGGTCAACGCCCCCGCGGCCCGGTCTGTGACCAGGCCTCCTGGTGGATCAGAGCCTGATCAACCAGGCTGTTGCTGCTGGCTGCACGCAAACCAACGTACGAGCCACAGCCCGGCTGATCAGGAACTGACTTTAGGTGCTTGTCCAGTGCCAGCTTGAAGACTGCCAGGGGTCTGTTGGTAATCCCCCTTGTGTGCTGGGAGGCAGTTGAACAGTCTCGGGCCCCTGACACTTATTGTATGGTCTCTTAACGTGCTAGTGACACCCCTGCTTTTCATTGGGGGGATGGTGCATCGTCTGCCAAGTCTTTTGCTTTCGTAGTGAGTGATTTTCGTGTGCAAGTTCGGTACTAGTCCCTCTAGGATTTTCCAGGTGTATATAATCATGTATCTCTCCCTCCTGCGTTCCAGGGAATACAGGTTTAGGAACGTCAAGTGCTCCCAGTAATTGAGGTGTTTTATCTCCGTTATGCGCACCGTGAAAGTTCTCTGTACATTTTCTAGGTCGGCAATTTCACCTGCCTTGAAAGGTGCTGTTAGTGTGCAGCAATATTCCAGCCTAGATAGAACAAGTGACCTGAAGAGTGTCATCATGGGCTTGGCCTCCCTAGTTTTGAAGGTTCTCATTATCCATCCTGTCATTTTTCTAGCAGATGCGATTAATACAATGTTATGGTCCTTGAAGGTGAGATCCTCCGACATGATCACTCCCAGGTCTTTGACGTTGGTGTTTCGCTCTATTTTGTGGCCAGAATTTGTTTTGTAACTGATGGGTTTCTAGATGGGTGGTGATCTTGCTTCTTAGGACCCTTTCAAAGATTTTTATGATATGGGATGTTAGTGCTATTGGTCTGTAGTTCTTTGCTGTTGCTTTACTGCCCCCTTTGTGGAGTGGGGCTATGTCTGTTGTTTTTAGTAACTGTGGGACGACCCCCGTGTCCATGCTCCCTCTCCATAGGATGGAAAAGGCTAGTGATAGGGGCTTCTTGCAGTTCTTGATGAACACAGAGTTCCATGAGTCTGGCCCTGGGGCAGAGTGCATGGGCATGTCATTTATCGCCTGTTCGAAGTCATTTGGCGTCAGGATAACATCGGATAGGCTTATGTTAATCAAATTTTGTGGCTCTCTCATAAGAAATTCATTTTGATCTTCGACTCTCAGTCTGGTTAGCGGCTTGCTAAAAACTGAGTCATATTGGGACTTGAGTAGCTCACTCATTTCCTTGCTGTCATCTGTGTAGGACCCATCTTGTTTAAGTAGGGGCCCAATACTGGACGTTGTTCTCGACTTTGATTTGGCATAGGAGAAGAAATACTTTGGGTTTCTTTCGATTTCATTTATGGCTTTTAGTTCTTCCCGCGATTCCTGACTCCTATAAGATTCCTTTAGCTTGAGTTCGATGATTGCTATTTCTCTGACCAGTGTCTCCCTACGCATTTCAGATATATTGACCTCTTTTTAGCCGCTCTGTTATTATTTTCCGTCGCCTGTAAAGGGTGCGCCTGTCTCTTTCTATTTTACATCTACTCCTTTTTCTTAGAGGAATAAGCCTTGTGCATACATCGAGTGCCACCAAGTTAATCTGTTCTAGGCATAAGTTGGGGTCTGTGTTGCTTAGTATATCTTCCCAGCTTATATCGGTTAGGACTTGGTTTACTTGGTCCCAATTTATGTTTTTGTTATTGAAGTTGAATTTGGTGAATGCTCCCTCGTGACTAATCTCATTATGTCGGTCTGGGGCTCCACGCATACATGTCTGAACCTCAATTATGTTGTGATCTGAGTATATTTTTTTTTGATATGGTGACATTTCTTATCAGATCATCATTGTTAGTGAAGGTGAGGTCTAGTGTATTCTCCAGTCTAGTAGGCTCTATTATTTGCTGGTTTAAATTGAATTTTGTGCAGAGATTTAAAAGCTCGTGTGAGTGAGTTTTCATCAGAGCTGCCTCCTGGTGTTATTACTGCAACAATATTATTTGCTATATTCCTCCATTTTAGGTGCCTTAAGTTGAAATCCCCCAGGAGCAAGATGTTGGGTGCAGGAGCTGGAAGATTTTCCAGACAGTGGTCAATTTGTAACAGCTGTTCCTGGAATTGCTGGGATGTTGCATCCGGAGGCTTGTAGACTACCACAATGACTAGGTTTTGGTTCTCGACCTTTACTGCTAAAACTTCCACTACATCATTTGAGGCATTAAGCAGTTCTGTGCAAACAAGTGACTCTGCAATGTACAGGCCAACCCCCCCCCCTTTTGCCTGTTCACTCTGTCACATCTGTATATGGTACTCTGCCTTGACAAAAAAAAAAAAAAAAAAAAACTGAAAGACAGACTGCAAATCACGCAGAACAAAATGGTAGTATTCATCCTGGGGCTGGGTCCAAGAGAACATGTAGGCCAGGATGAATTACAACATTTAGATATGCTGAATGTTGAAGACAGAGTAAAAACAACTGAAGTTAAATCAAGTTTATAAAATTGCTCACAAAGAGCGTCCAGAATATTTTGCTGCCAATTTTGTCAAGGCTGAGAGCCAAAGCAATCATAGTATGTACTAGGAGGAAGGATGGGGGGTTGGCACAACTTTGTAGTACCCACAGTCAGTGGCCAGGCTTCAAACACCTTTTATTGTACAGCAGTAAAGGAATGGAACAGACTGCCTGCACATGTCAAAGCAGTCATAGCATGAACCAGTTCAAGAAGAGTGCCAAAAGGTACCTAATTAATGCAGCTACAGAAAGGGAGGAGAATAATTTTTTATTTGTTTAGCTAACACACGTAAATATAAATACATAACTCATTTTACCTTATCCCTAGTATATCTCGTTTTTAGTATAATAATAAGATATCTCCTCATAGTATAATAACAAGGTATTATAAGGACCCCAATGGAAATAAGTCACTTTGACTTTTTTTGGTTATCCCAGGTTCTCTACACATATGCTGCTATGTTTGATAATCTATGTAACTGTATTTATGTATACCTGAATGAACTTACTTACTTTGATAAGTCAATAGAATTTTACATTAATTAGGGAATAGAGCTGCTGCGGGAAGGGGGGGGGTAAAGACTTTTGGGATTACTTCAATCTTCCCTGTCATTAGTGGGGATATTTTCCTTTTCGAAATTCAGCTCCTAGACAGTATTATCATTATTACATTTGTGGGAAAAAGGGCACTAAAGTCACAGGGAGTCATATA